GTGGAAACGACAGAAATTAATACAATCCGGTACTAATATTGCATGTATATTTAAATTGTGACAGAAAAAAACCTGATTTCTGCCTTTATGGATGCTTGGGCTTACTGCCAGACTAATCCTTGTATCCTCTTTGTTTCTTTGGATAGACAACATCAGGAAATCAGACCAAATATTATGTCTCTTACCGTCGAAAGGATTTTGTTCAGATGAAGCTACCAAAATATGCATTACCGAAGGTAAGTCTGCACAACTTATTTTTCTTTCCATTTTTTCCCTGTCTTCATTCCACTTTTGACCTGAAGTAGGCTTTTTTCTGTGCCTTTTAATCTTCACTATTTTCTTTATTTTTGCTTCCATAAGGATTTCTGAATTCTCCCTGAGGTGTGTTGTTGTTCTATTGCTTTAATATGCATCTTTGAAGTATAGTACCTTTCATTACAACTCATAAGAATGAAGAGCTGAGGCTAACTTGTCATTTGTTATCACAATAACATTCACTGCTACCAGGCCAATTGTAATGTGGTGATAGTAAGTAATCTTTCAAGAAACAATTGCAGTTTAATGTCATATGGTGTCTTTGTGCTAGAAACACAAATGGAAGTATAAGGGTATTTTACCAGCTGATCCATGTTTCCTGTCACCAAGAATCCCAAGATATTCTGTAGTCCCATCGAAGTGTTAAGGTTGGCAAAGCTAACTGAGAAAATTCTGCACTCTGATGTGTTTTTCTAAGGGCAAGGCTTTCTGTATTTGCATAGCACACTGATAATAAAATACAGACATATATTATTTGCATACAGTCTTTCTGACGTAACTGAGGTTTTGCAGTACACACAGTATGCTCCATATATGTATAAATAGCTGGAATAGCTGCAATCCCTTAACGGAATAACTTGGTTAAATGTGAGGTTTTATCTCTTAATTTTCTTGATGAAGTATGTACTACCTTATTGTTCAAGCTGTATGGAATTTCCCTGTTCCTTTCATTTTAAAGCAAAAAATAACTCAAATGATTCTTTTTATTCTATAAAAGCGACGAGGAGTCCTGTGGCACCTTATAGACTAACTGAAGTGTAGGAGCATAAGCTTTCGTGGGCAAAGACCCACTTCGTCAGATGCATGTCTATTCTGTTTTATTCTATGTTTTCTAATATAGCAGTGTGCTGTAGTTTATTAATTTTAAATATACAACACAGCACCTAATAATCCCTAAGATACTGTTTTAATAGGAACCTGTAGCCCCCTTCTTCTCTGGGTATAACTATTTTAAAAAAAAAGAATAAAAAGCATAACCAAGGTAAAAAATGTATCGAACTCATATACATAATATATATTTTGAGTGTTTGGAATGGCATCCAAAGTAGCCTTTGTGGTCTCCTGGGTAAACATGTAATTAGGAAAGCAACAAGAGAGAGAATATAAAATTCTAAGCATGCAAAAAATCAAAGTATAATTTACAGAGTCACAGAATTTAAGCCTTATTACACATGAAATAAATGAGTGAAAGTGTTGACAGAAACAATATTTCTCAAATAAATTTCACAGTTTGCTGTATAATTCAAGGAACATTGATTGCAGTGTCTCAGCACATCAATCAAACTAAGCTTTTGGTTGATTGTTTTTATTTCTTTGTGCTTGCTTCTATTATTCATTATTAGTTATGCTGATTATCAGGCCAGGATTTTAATGCAGGGAGGTATACATGGTGGGGAAGAGGGAGCCTCTTCCTCTTATCCCTCAAAGCCTGTTCAAGAACCTCCACTAGTGAAGCAGTGTTTCTGCTATGATATCTAGTTTGCTGCATTGTGGACATGATTAGCCCAACTACCTCCTCAACTTATATATGCCAACATAACAAGGGGGTTGTGAGCCTAACCAATCAATATTTGTAAATTTTTTTAGGTCTTTCGCTAAATAGACCTAGACAAGTGTGAAATATTATTCCATCTGCTTCCAGGAAATTTAGTATATTTAAAGATTTCAGGAAGCAGACTTCTTTAATATATAAAAGTTGATCGTAATAAAACAGATGCATGGTGAAGATCCTTAGGGTATGTCTACACTACCCTCCTAGTTCGAACTAGGAGGGTAATGTAGGCATACCGCACTTGCAAATGAAGCCCGAGATTTGAATTTCCCGGGCTTCATTTGCATAAGCGGGGCGCCGCCATTTTTAAATCCCGGCT